GCGAGAAACCCCTATGAATGTAAAGAATGTGGGAGATGCTTTATTGGTAGTAGAGACCTTAGAGTACATCAGAGAATTCATACTGGTGAGAAACCGTATCAATGTAAAGAATGTGGGAAAGCATTTAGTTGTAACTCAAACCTTGTTCAACATGTTAAAATTCATACTGGTGAAAAACCCTATGAATGTAAGGAATGTAGAAAAATTTTAGACTTAGTTCAGTTTTTACTGCACATCAGAGAATTCATACTGGTATGAAACCCTATAAATGTAAAGAATGTGGAAAGATCTTTAGTTGTAGCTCAAACCTTGTTCAGCATGAGAGAATTCATACCGGTGAGAAACCCTACAAATGTAAGGAATGTGGGAAGGCCTTTAGACTTAGTTTAGCCCTTTATGCACATCAGAGAATTCATGCTGGTGTGAAACGTTATGAATGTAAGGAATGTGGGAAAGCTTTTAGACTTAGTTCAGTCTTTATTGCCCATCAGAGAATTCATATACCTCTTAAACCCTATGAATGTACAGAATGTGGGAAAGCCTTTACTGTGAATGGTCAGCGTATTCAACATCAGAAAATTGATAATTGTCAGAAATTTTATGAGTATAAGGAGTGTGGACAAGCCTTCACTGTGTATGAAAAATTTATTCAACACCAGAAAATTCATATTGGTGAGAAATCCCATGAATATAAAAGAATGTGGGAAGAACTTTCATCATGGCCTAGGATTTGCTCAACAGAGCATTCATACTGGTGAGAAAGCCTTTGAGTATAAGAAATGTGGGACGTTTTATAGTCACAGTCACACGAAACACCTTAGAGTTCAGAGGAGACATTCTGGTGAGAAAGTCTTTGAATATGAGGAATGTAGGGTAGCTGTCATGTTCACCATTTATTCCCCATGAACTATTTTACTAGATGCTGGTATACCTTGATTAATTGCACAGTGTAGAAACTGCATTTTATACAAATTGAAAGTTTGTAGCAATCCTGCAGCAAACAAGTTTATCAGCATCGTTTTTTTCCAACAGCGTGTGGCCACTTCATATCTCTATGTCACATTTTGGTAATTCTCACAATATTTCAACTTTTTCATTGTTATATTTATTATGATGATCTGTGATCAGTGATCTTTGATGGTACTATTGTAATCATTTGGAGCACCACAAACCATGCCCATAAAAGACACTGAATTTAATAAATGTGTATGTTGAAAGAATAGTAAAATATACACCCATGTACCCCACCTAGATTCAAAATAGTTAATAATTTGCTATGTTTGTCATATTTTTGTGTATTTTTGTTGTACCTTTGAGAATAAGTTTTAGACATTGACACTTTACCCCTTATTACATCAGTATATAGCTCCCAGTCATAAAGACAATATCATATGTAGCTATAGTGCCATAATTACCCCTAAGGAAATCACTCATAATTCTATATTTTGCATATTCAAATACCTTGATTGGCCCCTAAAAAGTTCTTAACAGCTATTTACTTTCTAGGGAGAACCCATTCCAGCTTCTGCATTACATTTGTTTATCTCTTTAGTGTCTTGTAGCCTGGAACAAATTTTTGTGGGTGTCAGAATGACTTGTACAACTTGGTAAAAATACAGAGGTCCAGGCCCTAGCCTAGGAGCCTCAGCCTCTGTGTTTTTTATTAGTTCTCCAGGTGATTCTGATATCA